TCGGAAGAGGATGTGAAATTCCATTCAAAGTTATCGAAAAGTATGGAGTTTACATGAATATATACTGACAAAGGGGGCCTCGAAGAACAAACTCCCCGAGTTTTCAGCGGGCCAGTGACCGTCATCGGCCTGCAGGGCCGTGAAGTAGAGAACGCCTCTTCTAAGCGCCGTCTTGGCTGCTTCGTACGTGATTTTCTCCGCATCCTCAACCAGCACCCGTGGAATCTTTTGGTCGAAGTTTTTCTCCCGCAGAAACTGTCAAATGCATAGCGTTTTTTCGGAAGAATGGATATTGCAATTTGAGACGGGAGATGTGAAATCTAATACTTGAGGCTAAAACTGTGCACAGAAAGTAGTGAAATTTATGATGTTCCATGGCCTTATCTCTATAAAAGAAACGATACCCAGTTGGCGGCATTGACGTATATGTAAAATGTAGTATATATATGACTATATAGCTTTTCATTGGTAAACACATACATACACACGTACATATACATATATATATATGTAACCTGCATGCGCCATAGTAGATCAGAGCAGGTCTTGAGATGAGTTCTGTTCTCAGAGAAGTTCCGTCGAGCATCTTCCACGTCAGCAAGCTCCTGAGGAGTGGCAGCATCTCTATCGAACTCCCATACTTGTCTCCCCACGTAATCATTTGTGCTGAACAAGTGAGGATCATCTCCTCCTTTTCCGGTCCTCAGCCTCCACATTTATTTCCTTCTTCTTTTCAATGCGGGGATTGGAATTGCTATATATATAAAACTGTGTAACGTTAACTTAAATGTGTCTGTGGTGATGTATTAATTTGTAGCCGAATGGGGCCTACTCACGTGTTTAAGAAAATATTATATAATATGTGAATAGCCCGTATTAACTGTCGGCAGAAGTGTTATTATTGATAATTTATAGATAATCCTTTTTATATGCATTAATAATACTAAAAATCTCAAATAATATATATATATGAGATGAACTTAAACTCTTCACAATGCGCTTGTTGTAATTTCTAATGAATAAATACGTGATCGGATAATATTATCGTGTGAACATGAAATACTGCTCAGTGGTCTCGGGAACGCGCCCGGTCGACCGGCCGACGGTATTGCCCTTGGACAATCGGAAGGACAAGTCGGAGACAGCTATATGATACATTACAGGTCCAATGGCTATTGGTATTCCAAAAATTCAAAAATTGTAACCCCACTAACTATTTTAAATCCCTAAACCCTAAATCTATCCAATAAACTTACTAAGCCCACCCCTATGCATAAACCCTATATTATATATCACATTATCTCACTACAATCTCATAAAACAATCGGTTACCAAACTTACCATAAAAAAATGTGATTTTCTCCCCATGCTTCTGTTCACATCTACTCACCCAGCAAACTGCAATCCATTTCAAAAGCGAATTGGGCAAATGGGATCAGTGATAAAGAGTTCAGTAATTGGGTTCCCCTGGCAATCCATTGAAGTGAAGGAAGAAACAACAGCCACACGGCTTCTGCATCCCTCTTTGTGACGCGGATTTCATGGAACCGAAAATGGATGAACCATACAAAAAGCAAAAAAATCCCCATTTCCACTCTCACTACATCATTGTCCATCGACTTTCCAGATATAGAAAATCCAAAACCTCGGAGCAAGCAATTCAACCTAATGTGACGGGATTTAGTATCGCCTTCTCGGGCTCCTAGAACGATGCGTCCTCCCAGATCTGCGATTATGGAAATAACCCGAGAATCAGGATATTGAGGTCTATTAGGCACCAGTGGAAGAAGGGTGTCACTTTGAGCAAAACTCATGAAAGCCGCGACAAAGACCCTATACTCTGCTTCATTACAGGTCTTGAAAACCAGAGGAGATTCATTTTAGACGATTTGAGTTACATATAATCCCAAAGAGTAAGAATGCGTAAAAGTTTTTCACTCTTATGATGACACAACCGTATAAGCTTGACTGTGTTTACGTATCTAAATTCTGTTATTTGCACTCTTAATGACATTAAGTGTTTCATCACTAAACAAGTGTGGACTCATATTAGTTGTGCTAGGTTGACAAACAACTCTCTTGAAGAACTCCTACAAATCCCATGCAGCCAGGCCCATTACCAACAAGCAAACTCTAGAACCAACCAACCATGGAGATTGATCCACATCTACTTTCAGAAACTTTTAAGTGTAGATGATAGTGAAGCTTATGGACACCTAAATGTGCAAGTTTACAAACAACTCTCTTGCAAACCATCCACTGGAGATATGTGTTTTGCATGTAAATCACACCTAAAGGATTGCAACCAAAAAATCTAAACGAGAAGATGGCAAAGCAGATAAATCTAGTTCATTCGTACAGAAAAGGGAGGAAAGGAATAGACATAGATGCAAACCTCATGTTCTTTCTCCTGTATGATCCAACACTGGGTCCATTGCTGAAGGCCCAATCAACATTGACCGTCTGAGTGAGAAGCTCAGCACCATTCATTTCTGAAATAGCTTTCTGTGCTTCTTCAAACTTCTCATATTCTATCAATGCATAACCCTTGAAAAGACAGAAGGATACACAGGAAATATTAATAGAAGAACTTCCACAGTATGTTTACTCAAGAAAACCTAAAGTCTATAGAAATCTCAATCGAAAACAGGAAGACTTTTCCATTAGCAAGTGTCAAAGCCTGACTTTCAACAGAAAATCAACGTTCACTCTCCATTTCACTGTATTCAACAATAGATTTGTTACCACATACAACCACATAAATCCAAAGCAGGCATCCAGTACAATCAGTTCTGCATTTCATAAAGGTCTTCGATTCCTATCCAATATGTACAGCAAACGTTGTGTACAGTGAACTGGAGTGTATGCAATCGAAAAAGCACTTGAACATAAAATATCATTAAGAACAAAGAGAAAGTTCCCCAACCTTGACAAACCCAGTACGGCGGTCGAGATTCAGATGAAGATTCTTTATCTCCCCAAAGTCACCAAGAGCATTCAATAAATCATCTTCCTGTGCCTCCTCATGAACTCCAGTGACCAGAATAATCCACCCCTCAATGGCTGCACATAATTTCTTCCATCATACATAACACACATCCACACAACAAATCATTCAAAAGAGTACATATTCTGCATAGTGTATACGATCAAACACAAACCAGAGTATATTCCAAGTCCAGTAAACAGAAAATAATTTATATTTTCTACCCTTAAACCAAAATCTATTAGAAATTCATTAGCTGCGTTAGACTTAAGATATTCTTACAATCAATTCCTACACTCAAACCGCGGTTCAATTTAGTTTGACGGTTAATACCTCACAGTGGTGTTCTCAATTTCGAATTTCACGAATAAAGCAAATCTCATTCAATAATGAAACTTCAACAAAAGTCTAGCGAAATTATCCTACTTAAATTGCATCAACAAGTCTCATTTAGAAACCCTAGAAAAAAAAAGATTGTTTAACACAAATCAAACAAGAACACAAATAATCAATAAATTGCAACTATAACGCATCAAGGCACGTGGCTAAACAAACACACGCACAGAGAGCGAGTGAGAGAGAGAGAAATGGATTACATCGCTGCGGTCCGGGACCGCCGTCGGAGCCGAGCGAATCAAAGTCGCGAGAAGAGAGACGGCGTTGGCGATCGGCATCAGGCTCCTCTCGGAAGCCGCGACCTTTGGTCTTCTTCGCCGTCGAGTCGTCGCTGACGCCGGCGATGGTGGATCTCAGCCTCGGATATCCGGCGCGTGGGGAAGCATCTTCGGCGTCACCACCACCGTCCTCGTCCATCAAGTCATCCTCCTCAGGCTCGAAATCCACCGCTTCAGGCTCCGTGTTCGCCATCGTCGACGCCAGATGAATCTCTTCTCGACTATGGTTAACTACAGATTTTCTTTAGGTTCCTCTGTCGCTTTTTTTTTTCCCTGTTAATGATTTTGAACACCAAACCGTAGAGGATATGTAATGGGCTTTGTGACTGGGCCATTGCCTTAATATTGGGCCTAGGCCTATTAATTGTTTTATCTACTCAAATCGATCCAACGAATAATAATCGAATCGAAATTTGGTATAAAACCCAAGCGATTATTATTTTTAAAAAATAAAAACTAAATCTGGATTGACTTAAAAAATAAACAAAAAAAATCGAAAATTATTTTCTAAAATGAATGTTTTTATTAATAAAAATGGAATTCGAACTAAAATGAAACCAAATAAAACCGAATCAAATTTAATATAGAAATTGCACTGTTATAGTTTTATAAAACGGAAGCCAAATATTTAGACGAGAGTTAACATTTTGATTTCAGTTTCAGAATTGTGTAAGTTTATTTTCGTATTTTTAAAAAATATTGTTCAATGTTTTATGTTTAATTTGGATTCAATTTCCATAGGGTTTTTTATTTTAGTAAATTATACGCATTTCATATCTAATATAAAAATAAAAATACAGACAACTGTTCAGGTGCTCAGTCTCTGTCCTGACAACGCTTGCATGTTTCTTGTTATGGGAAACAATTTTAAAATTAAACCCACTAGATTTCGGACTCATTTAAAGAATAATTTATTTCTCTAAATATCCTGAAAATCTCAGTACGGTATTTTCATTTTATACGCTTTTTGGATACTTGTTCATGTCGCCTTGAAAATGGCGATCACCGTTTTTATCCAATTACAGAATTTTAAAAAATAAATACTGATTTTATTTATTTATTTTGGAGATTAAAAAGTTTTTTGTTACATCATCGTCTGATTCCGAGGAATGCTAATAAATTACAGAGTCTGGTCAACATAGACGACGACCATTAATTAAGCTCCTCACGTGTACACTTGTATAGCGATTTCCACCCACCTCCCCACAATAAAAATATTTTCCTTTATTTTCTTCCATTAATATCAAGAACGATAATTTATTTTTGATATTTCATCAATACAATCAAATATTTTGCTATTATATAGAAGATTATTCGAATATTATAATAATGTTTTTGATAAAGATATTAGGTTACATTATCAATAAAGATAAATTGTTGAGGGAATCAACTAATAAGTAATGATATTTTACATAATTTATTCTAAAAAACACAAGTTATATATATATAATTCGGCAAATGTTTTTTCCATGTGTTATGTATTATTTTATTATATACTGATTTTATCATTTTTCCTACGTATCATATATTCTATTAAAGAGGCTAAAAATTCTTTAAAAACGTAGTTAACAAACGGTTCGGGTCTAAAGACAGATATTTTCTTTATTTGGTAAGATTTGAAATTAGGGTGGGGTATATAATACTTTATATTTCCACCATGAGACCTATCTTGGGAAATTTTTTAAAATTGTTTTAAATTTTTATTATTCATCGTTTTGGTCGAATTGACGTAAACAACGAAACCTTTTTTACGAAATAAAATATTTTAAAAGCAAGAATTTTGGGTTTGAAAGGAAATATAGATATAATAACATAAAATACATAATATTATATCCGTTATTATTTCTATAGTCATATCTAAAGTTTATATTCATCTCCAATCACATTGATATTATTTTACTATTTAAACACGAATATAGAAGATCAATATTTACAATACTAAATTTAAATGAGTATTAAGAGTTTTTCATCAATCACACTAAAGATAAAAGATGTGGATGAGTTTAGTCTCTCTCTTTAAAAAAAAAATTATTTTCATAATTTCTATCATCCTTTGTATATTTTTCATTTTCTTAACAATTTCAATTTTTATTGACATTTCTATATCGTCATGTCTTAATTATAAGTGCATGAAAGTCTAAATTTCATTTTTATCACAATCTTCAAACACTAAAAATAATTTGTGAAGCGTGTTAAGAGTATTTTTCTCTGTTTTTTTTAAAGAATTTATAGAACCTATCATATGTCTATCAATTATGTTCAATCTTTGCATCAAATGGAATTTAATTTCTTGTTATGGAATTTTATGTATAGAAAGATATTATTTTTAGAATATTACCATTAATATGATTATGATTTATCCTAGATATTACGTCTAGAATATACTATTATATTTTACTATATATTAACGTGTATCTTGCGGTAATTAATAATAGAAAAACATTCTCCTATTATGGTATCAGAAGTTCGGTTTTTTAATCAACAATATTCATTGAATCCGAAAACGAAGATGACAATGATTTACTAAATCTAATAGTATCGTCTTGAGTACCGTCTTGCATTAATTTTGTTCTTTTTTTTTTTCTAACGACGTTCGTTTATCAACGTCAGCCTTAATCGTTGGGAGATTTTTAAACCTGGTTTTTAATCCCTTTCGATTGCAAAACTCTGATCATCGATCCGCGTGTTTGCATATTTTTTTTCTCTGACGACATCACTGCTAAATTATCACATATTATGCGTCGCGTTTTTGCGCTTTTATTTTTTTTCTCCGGCCTAGCAGTATATACACCGCAAATTTTTGTACTGCGGACCTCATTATCGTACAACTCAACTAGCGCAGATGCGCCATCCGTGCTACATCAGTCTCTGAAGTTATAACACTCAAACTCTTCAAACGTTATATATCAAACAACACCGACTCAAGTTTGAACTACACCACCATATAGAAGATGTTTCGTTTAATACGTTCACAATCTAAATTTTCAATTTTTATGTAACAATATTGAATTCATTATAGATGATTCATCGTGAGGAATATACAGAAAGATATTATTTCTATAATATTATAATTAATATGATTATGATTTAACCAAGATATTATACATAGAATATACTATTGTATGTTTCCATATATTAGCCTGTATCTTACGTTAATCAATAATAGAAAAACATTTTTTATAATAATAGACAATTTTGTTATGAATATTGTAATTCCTTCTTTATATCAAAACTTTATATTCCTTTTTTTAATTATGGGTTGCGTTTTCCACCACAAACACTGTATAAGTTTTCGTATATAAATGCAAACTTTTCACATTTTTACATGATGATGATTTTCCAATAACATGAAATTCGAGATAATACGGTGCATAATTCATACCCATGTTGCTAGACTCTCCCCATCAACTTTTTTTTTTCTTTAAAAAACAATTTTCTTAAAATGTCGGTTAATTTTATTTTATTAGCAGTTGTTCGTATGGCTAAAACTTATTAAATAAAAAATATATTGGTTTTTGAAAAATCAGCTAAAAATTAGGATATTTATTCAGTTAATATTTTTTTAAAATAATTATATATATAGTTTAATTTTTCCATACCAGTTCTCATTTTTTTCCGGAATAATTATTGATTCTTAATGAAATCTTTCAAAAAAACAAAAATAAAAAATTTGTTGTGGTTAAATTAAATAGTTTAATTTCCACGTCACTCTAATCCCGCTCCCGACGAACTTCAAAAACCCTAAACCCGATGAAGGAAACAAAACAAAAACCTCAGGAAAAGGAACAAACAAAAAAAAGTTGTCCTTGACACTTTACAATAAAAAATAAAAGACATTTAAAAAAAAACATCACATTATTAACCCTCAGCCCCAAAAAAAAAAAAAAAAAAAAAAAAAAAAAACACAAAAACACACAAGCTAGTACCCACTACTTTCAAAAAAAAAAAGGGTCTCTGCCTCTCTGGGTCTCTTCTTCTTCGTCTCCATCTTCTGTAAGAGCAGAGAAATCACGGCCATGGATCCCGGAGATCCTATTTCCATACTTTTCACTAAGATCAGAACACTGGAACCGGAGAACGCGTCGAAAATCATTGGGTATTTGTTGTTGCGGGATTTGGGTAAGAGAGATTTGATGCGTTTGGCTCTTGGACCAGACACTGTGTTGCAGTCTCTCTGTCTTAAAGCTAAATCCGACTTGGGTCTTTCTTCAAACACCTTGTCTACGCCGACGCCATTTAACCCTATCTCCAGACCCATCAATATCCTCCGACCACCATTCTCTCAGTCTTCTCCGAGGATGTCCGGAAATGGGTTCGTCGAGTTCTCGAGGAACCCTCTGTCTCCTTCTCTGACTCCCGGCTCACTTAACAGCAACCCCAGCCTGAGCTCGAGCCCATTTCAGAACGGGTCGTCGCTTCTGGGTTCTTCTTCCATGGCTGATGGAGTTGGCGATGCAAGTGGAAGCGGCGATTTACTCGATGAGCAACACCTCGGCGACTATTTATCGTTCCTAGATGATTCCTCTTCGAAGAATGAAGAAGTTGCGGACCCATTTGGATTCTCAGCCAACAATGGCGATGCCCAGTTGCACAGGAGGAGTTTCTCAGCCAGTGATGCTTGTTTGGGGTCGGAAGATCCTGGATTTGGCTCCGGCTGCAGTCTCTTGCACGGCTACGATTTCGGTGGCCGTGGCTGGTTCGGGTCTCCGAGTAAAATGGATGATGTTCACAGGCAACAGGAGGAGATGATGAGGATGAAGGTAGCTCATCAGCGTCGGATGGCGGCTGCTCAGCTCATGTTGGCTGGAGCTTCCACAATGCCGTATGACAAGGGACTCAATTTCCACTTGCATCCTCGAAATGGACAGAGGTAAAATGGACATTGGTCATTTTTGTTGTTTCTTGTTCACGTTTTCTTTTACAATGTGGCTAAGATGTCCTCTTGTGCATATGTTTTCTTGGTAGAGGCTAAGATTTTGCCAAAAAAGTGTGGTTCTTTGGTGAATAGCTTTGACCAGATGTGATGTTTGAGTCTTTTTGGTGGATTGTTTTAAAGTCTACATCTTTATGCTCCTCAACTTTGGTGATTATAAATTTGTGAAGTTGTCTTTGGATGCCCTTTCAGGTGTGTGAGATATCAACTGTTGCTCTCTGTGTTTTTGGGTCGTTGTTCGAGTTGTGTTTAGGAAAATGGTAGTATACTCTCTCAGTGTTCATTCATACCCAAGAGTTCGTATCTAGAGGGTGGACTTATTTTCTCTCATTTCATCCTTTTGGCTCTTGAATTTGTTTCTCCTGTTGTTCAAATCTTTTGCCTCAAGTTTAATGCAGGGATTTGTTTTTGGTATTAAGAAGTTCAAACTTGGTTTTTGGTGCTGCGGTGTGGTTCATCTGATGATTCTTGGGTTTTGTCTTGGTGTTCTTGCAGGCTAGTTCCCAGACAATATGGCGAAGAGGGTTACTGCTATGGTACTCCGGGCCGGCATGAAAGGGAAGATTTTATGGGAGATAAGTTTCATTCAGCTTCTAGACAGATTTATTTGACATTTCCAGCTGACAGCTCCTTCTCTGATGGAGATGTCTCCAACTATTTCAGGTAAACTACTCTCACAGCTCTTTCCTTTTCCTTTTTTTGTGTGTGAAGGAAAATAGTTGGGTTTTGTTATTACAGAAAAAAATGGACATCTTGAGCAAGTTTGGGTTCCATGAGCTTGTTAATATTATCATGCTTCTTGTTTTGTTAGCAATTTTGGACCGGTGCAAGACGTGCGGATTCCGTATCAGCAGAAAAGGATGTTTGGTTTTGTCACTTTCGTCAATGCCGAGACCGTGAGGCTCATATTGGCTAGAGGAAACCCTCATTTCATATGTGATTCACGCGTTCTCGTTAAACCATACAAGGAGAAAGGAAAGATCCTAGAAAAGTATATCGAAACTACCTATACTATTCCCGTCTTCTGTCTTTGGCTTTCATCTCTTCAGTTTCTTTATGGAGATTTTGTCAAACAATAGCAGGAGGCAACAGCAACTACAGCAGCAGATGGAGAGGGGGAACTTCTCTCCTTGTTCAAGTCCTTCAGGGATTAATTCCAGGGATCCATTTGGCTGTCACTTTGGTTAGTTTCGTTTCTTTCTTCAATAGGATTCACTCCCTGGATGGTTTTTCTATGGGAAGACAATCAATTTTTTTTTCTTTCTGGATACTCTTACTGAGTTCAGCCCTCATTTTCTTTGTTGCCAGGACCAAAAATGTTATGTGGCACACCGGAGACACTGAGAAGAGAAGCCGAGCAAGCTGATATGCAACATGCCATAGAACTTCAAAGGAGAAGGTTCATGACTCTGCAGCTACCTGACTTGGAAAACCAATCAATCCACCATCACCATCGTAGTCTTTCTGTTGGTTCTCCCGGTCGTTTTCCCTCTCGTATCAATCAAAGTATTTTTCTTCAATCAGAAAACATCAGTGAAGAAATCGTCGAAGGTCCTTTTCTCAGCTTCGTGGAGCTTGGTTCATATGTTTAACCTTTATTTTTCTCTGTTTTCATCGACCTTTTTCCTTCCTTTTAGCAGATGACAACGATACAGGAGAGAAACATCTCTGGCTAGAAGCAAGCGGAGCCTTTCTGAATGATACCGATCATTGCAGGAGCCAACAAGGTGACTACAGTGGCGAATCCTGTAACAAAGGGTATGATTTATTTTCAAGATAGCGAAAAGGGTTGTGCTCAATTTTAATTTTGAGGTTTACATAAAACATCCGTTCTTACCCATGCTTTCGTATCGCTGCACAAGGCAAGAGACCAATCTCGAGAACATTCTTCCCGATAGCTTCTTTGCTTCTCCCGCAAAATCCAGTGAAACCCACCAGCCTGAATCCGAGAAAGAGAAATGTATTCCTCTCTCTGATTCCGAGGACAATAAGCCTTACTCATCGGTTCAATCTGCCTAACTAGCATTTGGTATGTTCAAGATTTACACGGATTCGTAACATTATCTGGGGACAATCATTGACAACACTGGTAATTATCTTCCTGTTACTTTTCAGGTTCACCGCTATAGACAGAAAAAACCCAAGTGTATGTACCAAAAGGTAAGAGATTTCAGCCATGGAAGAAGATCTGAAAGAACTCAAAGTTGGGCTTTAACTCTCTCTTCATGTTTTGGATATGTGCTCTTGCAGAATAGCCAGAGATTTTGATAAGGCCGAGAGTAGAAGAGGAAGAATCGTCTGTGTGTAAAGCTAAGCATCTTAACCTGGAGAAGAAAGAAGAGTAGAGAAAGACCTGTTAGGATTAGATATCTGGAAGGCGATTGAAAAAGAAAATGTCGTCTGCGATATAATTACCACTAACCTCAAACAAGACATGAACATTCAGAATGATACAGTAACTGAAAACTTGCAGTGTGTTTTTCCTTTGTCCTTACTTTGTTCTGTTCTCTATAAATACAGTATCTGTATTACTAATATACTCTCACTCTCTCTCTCTATATATATATACATATATATCATATATGTGCATGTATTTTCTCTGGTTTTTTTACTTGCATGGTGTAAATTGTAAAATATGCTTTGGTTGTGAGTGGCAGGAAGTGCACTTGATCTGTTTTTTTTTTTAATTGTTATAAGGGCAGAGCTTGTATTTTTTTTTGTACAGTAATATTGTTCATGACAGAAACCATTTCTTGTTTACAAGAGGAATGCATACGGTTTTTTTTTTACACAAACCTGCCATTTTAGTACAACTTGAACCATTACATCAGAGGCCTTAAAGCACAAGACAAGACCAAACTTTTACTGTAAAGCCCTTTTTCAGGTTTCTGTCCATGTCTTTGGTCGGTGGCTAGAGTCCAAGAACAAGTTCCACCATGAAAAGCTCACCACCAAACCTAAGACCTGATGATGCCGCAGGCTGAAGCAATCCGTCAACCATCCCACCAGACATGTAAACATACCGTCCTGACCGATCAACGCAAGCCCGGTGGAAAGACCGACACTTTGGCCTGTAAGAAATCTCGTTGAGCCTTCTCCATGCTGATGACCCGTTAAGGCTAACCGCTGGTGGCTGCAGACCAGTGGCAGGAATGGTGTTAACATCAAATGCCCAGAAATCGTCTTTCCTGTGCCTGTACGAATCCTCACCCCCGTAAATCAGCAGCCAGCCTCCTAATATCAGCGTTGCCGAGTGACCAACCCTCGGCAATGAAGAACTCGCGGGCACGTTCTTGAAATCGTAGAATATCTGTATCCATCGTTTGGAATGTTCTTGAATATCCAGGAGCCAGACATCGTCGAGAACATTGTATCCCGACCCTCTCCCTCCGAACAGAACTACTTGGTTGTCCCTGATGCAGGTCAAGGAGTGTCCTGACCGAGGTGGCGGTGATGGATGAGACACCAACTGGCGCCATGTCCCCGAGTTCATGTCCTCGGAAAGTTCTAGAACCCATGTGTCCCCAAGTCTGACTCCAAACAATCCGATCCCACCATGGATAACGATCTTCTTCTCGCCGATGCAACAGGCGGCATGAGCACCACGACAAGGCGGTATAACAGGTCCGACATTGAGCAACTTCCATGATAGTTCCTCGTGGAAAGTCACTCTCGCGATCCATGTATCGTTGTAACGATGACCACGGTCATTTATTCCTCCGAATAGAATGAGTTGCTGTCCGACGACGATGCAGGTGTGGCCGAATCTCCCGCTCGGAGTGCCCAAATCGACTTTTTTCCATTTCAACATCTTGTGATTGCTCTCATCAACATAAGCAGTCCATGTATCATCAAGATGGCGTCCTGCAAAAAAAAAAAAAGCCCAGCAATGCATATATATAATACAAAGCTCAACAAAATTTTGATTGAGTACAAAGACCAGAAGATGTATATCCAGCTCAAAATTTTCAGGTAATAAGACCGAAACTAGGGCAGGATTCGAACCTAATGATGGTTAATCTTCATCTGAAATAACAAAACGATGAGCTAAAATTGCCAAAGAGTTGGCGTGTGGTCAGCACACGCATCAAGCAGAGAACCCCAATTCTGGATTCAATCATATACCGAAACCTCCAATTTCCAGGTTGCAAACAGACAAAACCCCCGAAAAAAAAGTACGGAACTTCACATTTGGTGGATGAAGAAGAGAGGATTTGGCTTTACCTCCTTCACATCCACCGCCGAACAGAACCAGATAATCAGTGACGAAGTTGAGAGAATGAGAAGCTCTAGGGCTCGGCAACAAAGATTCCGCATCTGGGTTCGGGATTACGTGACAGCAGACCGAATCCAGCTTGCGAACTCGCTCGAACAGCTTCATCCACGCAAACCCATCTCGAGAAGAGGACTTCAGGGCCTCCACAGTCGCCGGGCCCCACTTCCGCCGGCAAACTGCTTCCCAGAGACCGTCGGAGCAAGCAAGATCTCGGAATCTCTTGCAGGTCATGGAGAAGGAGAGGATAGAATCTACGGGGAGAAGATGCAGGATGGCGAAGAGATGGTCCTGGGCTAAGTTCATTATCGGCGTAGACGACGAGCCTCGTTCTCCGGCGACGGCGACGGCGGAGATATCAGTCTCCGACATGGGAAATCGGTGGGGGGATCGCTGTTGGATTCGTTGGTGGTATTAGTGGAATGATTGTGGTGTGGGCATTTCTGTCTGGCCGCATCTGACTCCAGTGATGTCTTCGCATGAAGTTGGGTCAGTGAAAACAAAGACATTTTCTGTTTTATTATTATTTTTTTTACTTTTCTCGTCGTGTAATACTTTTAATTTTTACCTTTGGATTTAACTTGCCCGGGTAACTTTCGAACACTCGAAAAAGTTTGGTACATATTTCGATTTTTTTTTTCATTTTTACAAATATTTACCGAAAACACCCAAAAGTTTTAAAACATTCTACTTTTAACCCCATGCTTTCTGGATGGAGAATATTCTTCAATCTTGTGTCACTTTCTGCTGTGCTGTACATAACAACGTGCAGATAAGAGTCTTGAATCTAAAATTTTGAAAGCTCATGTTTTATCCGATACTAGAGAAAAAAAAAAAGCTTTATTTTTTGGGTTGACAATTTAAAAGTTGTCTTGCTCTAGAAATGTGTACATGGTTCATGAATTTATACGGAAACTTTCCTAAATAAATACTATTTTATACATTAAAAAAAAATCCCAAAAAAATACTGAACTTTCGAATTTTGACAAAAAATACTGAATTTTTTATTTTATCAAATAAATATTAAATTTTTTAAATTTGACAAAATAAATAAAATGAGATACAACCACATCACATTATTTTACTTAGTTTTTTTTACAATCGAAAAAAGTTTATATATTTTTTTGGATTACTAAAAAAGTTCAGTATTTTTTTATAATTAGAGAAAAATTCATATATTTTTTGGATCATTTAAAAAGCTCAGTATTTTTTTAGATTCATTTAAAAAGTTTAATATTTATTTGATAAAAAGTAAAATTCGGTATTTTTTTATCAAAATTGAAAAGTTCAATGTTTTTTTTAAGATTTTCCCTAAAAAAATTAATTATATTTTTTCAACCGAGAGCACTGCACTGCACATTGTATGACTTTTTAGATTCATCTAAATTACTGTATGAGTGACAAAAGCAAAAATTCAAGAAACAAAAAGTCTAATGACTATCCCGACCTTGAGTTCGAATCTCATGTTTGGGAAGGAACCAATATTCTAAATCACATGGTTGACCATTGACCCTTGATCCTGTGGACTTCAGTATAGAACACTCGGTTACCCAAAAAAAATCTAAAGATGTGGAAACATAAAAGCATCACAGGAAAGAAGAGCATAATACATTGTTATTACCTTAAAAACTCATTCAAGGTCTAACCTCAACAGTCACCAAAAACAAGTACAACACACTAAACTCTACATCAGAGGGCAATATGTATTGTCAACCTGGTGAGCATCAAAGGCCAACCAGTGAAAACTTACCTATCTCCTTCAAGGCTTTAACTTGATCAAGATCAACAAAGGCAAGGGCAGGCAATGTGCAAAACCAAAACTTCTGCAGTCTGTTTATTTTTTTTTACATAGTTAACTCATCACAGAACCAGGGGGAAGAAGGAACCAAAATGACCCCAACAGGGAACAAGCAGTAGAATTTATTCGCCAGATAAGCTATTTCGGGAGTTGAGATTAAAGATACACATTTACCCTTTGGACTGATATCCCCTTGTGAGGCGGCGTCTGATACGAATGAAACGACTTCAACATCCGTCATTTCTGCAAATTATGCACCACCTTCCCCTTCTTTACCACTTTCCAGAGAGCAGTTTTTGCTTCTTCTAACGTTTCAACCTCATGGCCTTCATCAAAGGATAGCCTTTGTATGTTGAACTGAACATAACAATAAAATGCAGAAGCTTAGAGGCTTGTGTAAGAACGGAAGCAATCTCTCCATCCATTTGATTGGAAATCTAACGTAATAATACCTGAGCGCCTTGGCGGACCCGTATATCAATTCCTTTGCAATCTATGGAAATGAGAGCAGCATCATCTACCTCACTTTCAGCAGACAAGAGCTCTCTCAGTGGTTTTGAGAAGATAGCATTCAGTTCCTATTAAAAAAAAAGTAGACAGAAAATAAGAATCAATTCTAACCATTGGGAATTTACATAATGAGAAATTTTTTGGAGCCTTGAAAGCTAGCTGAAAAGTGAATTTGAAATACACACCTTAAGATTTTGCTCGCCTCCATCGACAGCTATTTTATCTGGCTGAAGAGCCTCATACTCTTTGACATTGACCCAAGCAACAGTGCCAAAACCTCCGATGAAATAGATATCACTGACGACAAATCCATATCGTTATATTCAAGACAAATGGAAGAATATTAATTGACCTTTAGGGTTGTGCTTGACGGTAAATGCATCCGAAGAATAAGTTTGCAGGCAGTGATACTTGTCTAATTTCTTACTTGACAGCCAGCAAATGAAGATGGAAAGCACAGTTCCAAGGTAAAAGATTATGAAAAATGTCAAATTGTCAATCCTCTTAGTGCCAATAAATGTGTCATATTTATCTCAATTTCAGTATATATTAGAATGTCATGCAAGTTCTGATGCACAGAAAATTAAAACATCACATCCATAAACAAACAATGACTTGTTCATGGAAGAAAGAAAGTGATACGGGAGAAGCCAAAACTGTAAGCAAACCTTATGTTCTGCATTCTGAAATAGTAAAAGTTTCCCCACTGCTGGGAAGGCCCTTGTTGATGTTTTGCAATATACAGCTTATGAGCCCATTCCTGACAAGCCAGAAAATGAAAATTTAGATCAATAATATTTTAAAAAAAAAGCTAATGTAGAGATGAATTATTACGATCTGCTCGGATTATGCTGGACATTCAAAAACAGTAAACCAAGAAGAAATATGAAACACAATTGGTTAACAGAAGCCCACCTGCTGATCTTCTGGCAACGGGTACACATCACCAAAAAGTGTTACTCTTGCATTTGATAAGCCGCTCCATCCAGGTATCTACGAACCAAAACCAGGAATTAAAAAAAAAACAAAGATATTCTTATGCTTCAGATCAGTTAGGTTTAGGTACAATAAATAACATTACCTGAACAACAAGAGTGCATCGAGGTTCAGACAAGAGATTTCGTGTGTGGATGGCCAATGGCGAAAATGAAAATATTGGATCTAGAAACCAAAAGTACAGGACATCATCAAATGTATATTTACATGTGGATTGAAATATTTATCAAGTTTGTATCACGAAAACACAAAAATTAGCAAGCAGACATAAAACATGAGATGTATTTTTTCAGTATGATATACAGATTGATAAAAATTCCTAAGTTTACATCCAGAATGGGTGTAAGGGGATAAAGTCAGACCCCATAAGGATGCTGGTCTATGAATTGCCATAAACACACAACATGTGACACAGGTAAACATTTTAAAATGGAAAAACAGAAGCATGAGAAGAACTAAATATGCATCAACTGACAAGTCGAAAATTCATAAAAGTGACATTATAGAGAAACACCGGACACAGAGAGTAGCCTTTGCAAAACCATATGCAGCCAAAAAACAAGCGTTAGATTCAATCAATTTGACTTACGTCCCATCGGATCAGGAGCAAAATCCACCAAAGAGCCAAATGGGTACCCTTCTCTGCGGTGGTGCATCTTAGACATCACAGTGCACAGATGAGCAAACCTGGCCTTGAATCATAACCCCAAGACAAGACACGAACTTTATGATCTTTGTCCGGTAAAGCAAAAAGAACCAAACCACAGAACGAACTAGAACATAACTCTTACCTGCTCCATCAAATTCCGGACAGCTAAAGCTGGCCGAGGCAGCCCATGAGCAGAGGTTGCACTCTGAACGCCACCAGAAATCGGTGTCCTAAAAAGCCCTGCTCGAGTTCCTCCAGCATTGCCAACCCCATGAGGAAGCACAAGAGATGTCTCGACGTCGATTATCTTATGAGCATTGTTTTCCTCACTTTGATCACCGCCTAACATTTCCTGCATGAAAAATAAGAAGCAATCAATCCCGCGCCAAAGGAATCACCCAATACATTATGAACTACAAGTTCAGCTTGCACCAATCCGGCCAAAGCAACGTAAGACAACCTTCGCAAGAAAAACCATCGTGTTCCATCCAGGACAAGTGTTTACAGTGAAACTCGCTATCATTGCAACATAATTTAACATCTAATAGCAGCTTTTTAAGCTTTATAACTACAAGAATCCCCCAGTGAAGTACACACCCAAAACAAAATTTGATAACTTTTGAAACATTGGAAGGCATGATTCAATTACTGCGATTCCATTTCTTTTTGGGGATGATTCTAACAAATGTATGATCGAAGTGATATTACCTGAGATAAAGAGAGAATATCGCCGGAAAACGAGCTAAACCCATTGCTCCCCGCCAAATTATCATCTCCTTCGCTTGGAGTCTCGTCGTTGAAGAGAGCCCGCAGGCGAAACCCATGACTCGGTCCATGGCTGAGTCTCAGTTTGGCGATTCGCTTGGTCGGCGAATCGCACAACCAACGAGAAGACAGAAAAGAAGAAGACGGAGATGAAGGCGGCGGCAAAGAAGGCTTTGCCTCGGGGAGATTGGATACGTAAACTGAAGTGAATATAGCTTCCATTGAAGAGAGAAATCCAAGGAACAGAGAAATCGATTCAAGAATCGCAAAAGTGTAGCGAGGAGAGATTCTCTGACTTCTTTGATCGGGAAAATCAAAGGAAAGGTAGGGTTCGAATTTAAAGAAAAAGGGTTTCTGTGTTTCTTTTCTTATTGTTTTCTATTTTCCAAACTTCCATCTTCGATAATTAATTGTTATTGCCCATTTTGATTTGATTTAGGGTTGGAGATTTTTTTTCTTTGTATAATTTGTTTTTTAAATACTGTAGTATTTAAATTCATATTTTTATACATTTCAACATCTAAATTAATTTCAATATATGAATTAATTCATATATTTCTCCTTTTTTCTATCAGTTGTTCACATCTAATTATCTTTTTTAATGTACGAAATGAATCATCGGATACTAAAAATAAATATTAATATATATAAAAATAAAAATTTGTAAAATAACTTATAAAATAATAAATTACTCCATAAATATTAGTACCCATATGAAAATAATACTGCCCCAATTTTTTATATTACGGTGGGAATATTTTTATGGGGAAAAAACAAGGAAAGAGAATCAATAATTGCCAAAAGGTTTAATGATTTGCTCAAAGTTAAATAATCTCAATGTAGATATGTATATTCATATATTACTTTATAGTTTATACGTCGGGTTTAGAACCTAAATGGTGATTAGACTATATATATATATATATATCACATCAAAATAATGTATGTATCAAATTAAATTTAAAGTTTCACAAATCTTAAATTTATTGATAAAAAACAACTGAAATTCGGAAGGATAAATGCACCTAACCATTTTATACTATATAATTTCATATTTTATACGATTTAATCTCAACTATTTTTAATATATAACTATTTGTATGTTGAATATTAGAAGATTTTTTTAATAAAGTTTAAGAACATTTTTGTAATATTTTTAAAATTTATATTTTTAAATTTTATACATTTTTGTAATTATTTTTAACTTCGTATTTTTTAATGTTGATTTCTTTTGGAAATTATTTATTTCTACGGTTCTTTATCCAAAACTACATAAAATCAAAATCAACACCTGCGGTGACGCTTTTCCTCTCCTGCCTTCTCTGACGTCGCCAGCAACCGGCGCCGGAGTTTCGTTCCGGCGGCTCGTATCCATTTTCTGCCGAGGGTTTGTCATTCCAGCCGCCGTCCGATCAGTTTTCCGTCGGTCCTCGCTTTCTCTCTTCATCTCTCTTACGTTACTCGCGAGAACAGGTACGAATCCGACTTCAGTCAGTGCTCTCGCAGCGGAATGAGAAAATTTTTCACGAGATGGTGTGAAAACTGCGTGGACTTGCTTACCGGGTTGGCTTGATTACGTTCTAGGGTTTTTAGTTGGCGACAATTTGGTGTACGATATGAAGTTGATGTGCTTTTGTCTTGTTATCTTTGGTTCCCTGTACGTCCATTCGCTCGTTGCCGATCATAACAGGATCAGAATTTTGAATTGGTCCTGATTTATGCAAAATATGGCCCTGTTTCTCGAGAACGTTAAGTTGTTTTCGGATTCATGGTTCTGGATTTGGAAATATATCGTTAGGAATCTGGCATTTGGCTGTTTTCCTTGACGTTTATGTTTGAGGGTTGAATCTCTGCTCGCGATTACATTATGATTGCTGTTTTCTCTGTAAAAGTTCGAAATCCACGCTAACTCTGGCAAAAAAAAAGAAAGAATTTATTACCCATTTAGCGATCCTTCCAACGTATAACCCAGGAAAGGAAGAAAACATGACTAACCGATGATGAGAAAGGAAGGTTTCTTCATGCAACTGTTTACTAGCATTTTGTTGTCGGGTCGTGCAAATTCAATTATTATCTTGCTTAGATTTTACCTCACTTAATGCTGGTTTGATATAGTTATCTGTCCGATTATGTGATTCTGTTTGTTTGTGAACTCAGTTCATGCTTGCTGAGGAGTTGCTTTGGTTGTTCATGCTCGAAATCTAGTTATCTGCTTCAAACCCTCTCTATCATGTTATAATGGCTATTTGAATAACATTGTCAAACAGTTATAGCAAATTGATGAACAAGAAGAACCATGGATGGCCTTCATGGAAGGGATGCCCGAGTGCACATGGCTGAAGCACAAGATCCAATGAATGTGCAATATGAGCATCATGATTTGCGCCACATCAACAATGAAAGTGATATGGTTGATGAGCATACTGGGAGGATGAATGAAGGAGTGGAAATGGGCATTCCTTCTCGCCCTGGAAATTTATCAGATACCCGAGGTGACATGGTGGACCATGGTGGTGAAAATGGAGATCAGTTGACGTTGTCTTTTCAGGGCCAACTTTATGTCTTCGACAGTGTCTCGGCTGAAAAGGTGATTTAGAGTTGCTAATGAGTTAGTTCCTTAATATAAATTTATAAGTATAGTTTTTATTATAAAGCTAGTGCGAGAGAATGACCCTTCATTTCCTTTTCAACATCAACTGCAGCTCCAAGCCACGCTTCGATTGTTGGGAGGCCGTGAAATACCACAGACTGCTTCCACAACCCTAGGATCATCAACAACACCTCAGAACAATAGGGTATCGATAGTAAAACATTTGATTATATGGGAATAAGTTTGCTCCTTTTACGAATTGCTGACTAATTAATGAATTAGTGTCTATCTGGTACTCCTCAAAGGTCTAGTGTCCCGCAACGGCTAGCCTCCTTAGTCAGATTTCGGGAGAAACGTATAGGACGGAATTTCGATAAGAAAATTCGGTACTCAGTCCGTAAGGAGGTTGCCTTGAGGTACAGTTGTTGTACTCGGGATTTTTTTTTTACTTTTGCCTATACGTTTTTGGGTAATTACGGCACTTTTTTGTTACTTGTCACTGTTCTTTGGCATTCTGTAGGATGCAACGTAATAAACGTCAGTTCACATCTGCCAAGTCAAATGATGATGATTCTGCATCAGCGGGTTCGAGCTTGGGGTCAAATCACTCCTGGGGTGTAGAACGGTGTGGCTCTCAGACTCGAGAGATTTCGTAAGTTCAAATATTGCTTTAATTTTATTCAACAAGTATCCGACTTGAGGTAGTATTGATCTGGACCAACCAACTTTAGAACTTATTAGTGTATTAAGATGAGGAGATCCTATCATTAAAATTGTAGGACAATGCAGGCAATATAATATCTTGTTAAAATAGCCCACACAGACACAGGTGAAGCAAAAGAAATGCTAAGCTAAAAGTTGTAATTGTAAAATGTAAAAGAAGCGTGAATTATGAGATGTTCCCTTAATAGATAAGAGCTGAAAAGTATGTAAAGATGTAATGATCTTTGTTTTCTGGAAATTCAAAAGCACGGACTGAATGTTGCATCGAAGTTTTTGCACGTGACATTCTTTTTTTTTTACATTCAGTTACGTACTTAGCACATGTTTTGTATCTTCTGCTTGAAATGGTAATGGAACATGTAAGATGCCGGCACTGTGGAACCAGTGAGAAGTCCACTCCAATGATGCGTCGAGGGCCTGAAGGCTGAAGGGCCAAGAACACTTTGCAATGCCTGTGGACTAAACTGGGCAAACAAGGTAAGCGAAGCTTGTAGTTGTTGGAGCCATATTATTTGTCGGTCCATATTTAACATTTTCATGAATGGTAATTTTCAGGGGACTCTCAGAGACTTATCCAAAGCCACACAAAATATGTCTGTAAATAGGAACGAGGTGATGATCATACATTTTGTCGGTTAAACAAAAAACTTGACATTTGCTCTCGATGTATTTATCAGGGCAAAACCCCCGTGGCCGATCGAAGGAACGAGAGTTGCCGGTAAAGTTAGCATCTCGTCCTGATTACATAACAGGATCAACCTAAGGTCAGGTTTGCTTTAGTTTCCTGACCATATTTTGAAGGAATCTTAGTTTATTTTGGGTTTTTTGGGATCAGATTCTGGAGATGGAACCTTTGGATTCAATCCGGGGGTAAGTATGAATACTGCACAGTGCGTCTAAATGTGTTTGGCTCGAAGTCTTTGACCAAGTCAACGCAGGAGTGTAAGTTGCTTTGATTATGCTTTTAATAAACCAAATTTAAACTTAAGCATAATCATTTGATTCAGTCTTTAACCAAAGGCATGCATCCCATCAAAGATCACATGTTCAGCATTGCTTAGCTTGAGTTGCCCTAACCCATACAATGTATGATCTTGATTTGGTACAGTGTTTTTTTATTTATTTATTGGGATGTGTTTTGTGTTCTACCAAATCTTTTTTGAAGTTTTTTTCCATATAAATTGGATTTGTATGAAATTGTCTAGAAGATGGATTTTTATGTATAATAAGAGATAGATACATGTATATCTATATGTATGTATGTATGCATGCACACACAAGCCTCGGGCCCTTTAGAGGCTTTGACTTGGTGTATTTAAGAGAGGGCATAGCATGAGTGTCATGGCCATTAAACATCACGTTTGTAATTTGTAATTATTATTAACGCTAATCAATTTATAACTTTCTATTCATTTATTTGGATAAAATGGCTTTCTACTCGTTTAACCATTTTTCATCATTTATAAAAAAACTATATATTAATATCAAGTAAAATGAGAAAAAATATATTATGATTTATGTCACTAGCAACCATAACAAACGCTTATCAGAAAAATAATTAAGTAAAGCTTTATAAATTTTCATGAATTCGAAGATTACAAACAAAGCAATTTTATTTCATATATAAGGCAGTAAAACATCCAATGTTCTTTTAAATAAAAGTTTTTATTTAAATGAAAATGGGCATATGATTAGAGTGATTTTTTTTTTAAAAATCAGATATATGATTGGGACTAAATGAGTGTGAGCCACGCAGGTGAGGTGACCATTGTGTTGAATGCACGTTTCAATACTCTCTCTTTCTGAGAAGCTTCAGATTTATAACAATTTCTTTTGAATAAATAAATCTCACATTCCATCAAATAGAAAGCCAATTACATTCGCATTGTGTGTTATGTTTTTATGTATTTTTCCTCCATCTTAGTTTTTATGTATTGGTAAGTCAAACCAAGGCTATTTATCTTAGTTATTTCATAATAAAAAAAAATACAAGTAAAATATCATATAAAAACATGAAAATTTGAATTGTCGTGGAATAGAAATAAAATTAAGAATGCTTACTTCAAATATTTTATTAAATTAATTTAACTTATATACTAAATTACTCACCGCATTTTGCCAAATATAAAATAAAGAGAACTTTGGAACGGTTGATAAAGGAAAAAATATCAATTTTAAAAAGGCTACTTTTTTATTAAAAAAAATTTAATACGTGATTTGACTTTTTTCAAGAAAAATTAATTTGTTATTCTCTTTATAGTTTAGAATTTTTTTGGGGGATAAAATATTTCTACACGTTCCCACGTCTAATATTTCTATATAATCACAACATTCTCTTAAATGATTAACTATTATAATATGTTTAATTTTACGAAAAATAAATTCAACAAAAAAAATTATGAAAAAAAAAGTTGTATCAATGCGTCGTGCATATGCATAATGTTAGACTAAATTTAAAAAAGAAAAAAAAAAGGTTTCAGCTTGTGGGCTAAAAGAAAGAGACTCCTGTTTGTTTCCCGGGAAAATCTGCCTTTTCTTCTTCTTTCCTCCGTTCTGTTTCTCGCCTGGAAATATAATAGGGGGAAAAAAACAAAACATCCCGCAATCTATGCACTACCAGACCAGAAATAGCAAAACTCTCTGATCGGTTTTGCCCGAATAATTATTTCTTTTCTGTCCTAATTCGTTCTTGTGTTCTTCTGTGTTTGACAGAGAGGTAAGGGAGAGACAGTGAGGGAGAGAGAGAGATTCATTTTTTTGTTCCCTCTCCTCTACGAAGCTTTGGCCCCTCTCCGTTACACCAACAACAACAGCAACAACAGAAGGGTCTTTCTATTTCTTCTTCATCCTTTTTTTTTTCTGGGCAATGCGAATTTGATTTCTCAGAGGAACAAACCCAAGGTAGGAGGAGGAGGAAGAAGAAGAAGGGAGACGAACTGGGTTCGACCAAGGAAGAGAGAATGAGCACTTCCTCGAGCAATGGGTTGCTTCTGACGTCGATGTCGGGACGACACGACGACATGGAGGCTGGCTCCGTGAGAGCAGAAGAAGATCATTCGGAAGAAGAGCTCGAACACGATCCTGATGATCCTTTCGACATTGATAACACCAAGAATGCTTCCGTCGAGACGCTCCGTCGTTGGAGGGTATTTCTTCTTCCGTTTAATTTTCCCCCCTTCTCATCTCTGAATCTGCAATGCCGGTCCCAAATGGATTCGTTTCGTTGTTCTTTTGGTCTGATTGTGCAACAATGGTGACCCTGTTGCAAATGCCTTACATGGGTTTGAAGGATGATCTTTCTGGATTTGAGAAAATGTATTCGTTTGGCTCGTAGTGAAAAGATTTCATGGAATGTTTTTACCATCGAGTGGTTGCTGACTTCTGGTTTTGTTGAATGTTTGTAGCAAGCGGCTTTTGTGTTGAATGCCTCACGTAGGTTTCGATACACTTTGGACCTAAACAAGGAAGAGGCTTATGACAGTAGAAGAAGAATGATCAGAGCACATGCTCAAGTCATAAGGGTAATCTTCTATCAAAAAGTTCTTTGACGTGTTTTGCCATGTCGGTTTCGCTTTCCTCCCAAGCGTTCCTGCTTGCCATTGTGTCCTCATCGGTAATTTCTCCGTGAATCAGGCAGCGTTGCTTTTCAAGTTGGCAGGGGAACGACAACTTGGTATGTTTCTCTCTGGAGGCATTAATGCAAACACACATCTTATATATAACGCAAAGCAATGAATCTCGGGAACATCTTGCCGCTAAGATTATCATGTAGACTTTGTTATTGCTAAGCTCCTCCTATAAAACATCGATAGGGAACTTTGAGGTTGAATTTTGGATCGGTCTATCAAGTTTGTTTTTCCATTGATTGATCTTACTTCTTTGGATCAGGATTTGGCCCGTCATCAACTCCCCCAACCTCAACCGGTGACTTTGAGGTTGAACTCGAAAAACTCGTATCAATGACCAGGAACCAGAATGTTTCTGTTCTGCAACAATATGGAGGGGTATGATTTCAAGACTTTGTTTGCTTGTGTTGTATTGTATGTGATATTATTGTTGTATTGTATGTGATATTATTTACTTCTTCTGCTACTTTTTTTTTGTCATGTCTCAGGTTAAAGGTCTAACAGAGAAGTTGAAGTCGAATTTGGAGCAAGGAGTGGACGACGATCCCGCAGAGCTGATAAAGAGGAAGAATGCATACGGATCAAATACGTATCCTCGGAAGAAGGGAAAAAGCATCTTTGTAAGAAATGCTGATTTATTCTGTATTTTCTTCGAGAGTGTATAGTCTGTTTTGGCAGTGCTCTTTCAATTCATGGATAACTTTCCAATGGGGATAACTCATGTTTTCTTTTTTGATTTGCCAAAAAGATGTTCCTTTGGGAAGCTTGGCAAGATTTAACGCTTATAATCTTGATCATCGCTGCTGTAACTTCGTTGGCATTGGGAATAAAAACAGAGGTAACTTATTGCTTTACATTCGTACTTACATTTCCAAATATAAGAACATTTGTTTTGTAGCTGTACTGTGATATCTTATTTATTCTGACAACAACTTTAGGGTCTAGAAGAAGGATGGTATGACGGTGGCAGCATCGCATTTGCTGTTTTGCTTGTCATAGTTGTTACAGGTATGAAATTTCTCGGCTCGTTGGTTTTGCTTGCTTTCTCGCTCTTATTTTCTACTATCACATTTGCTGATTGCCTAAGAACAAAAGTTACTTGGTTGACGTGTTAAAGAAGCATTATTTCGTATACAATGCCAGTAATAAATTCTGTCTTAACCTTCTTTCTACAGCCGGTAGTGACTATCGTCAATCTCTTCAGTTTCAAGACCTCAATGAGGAAAAACGGAATATACAACTAGAGGTGTGTGCTGTGATGTCATTATGATTGTTTTCATTGTAAGTTTCCGGGGCTGATATTTAAATGAATGAAAAAACCTCTACAGGTCATGAGAGGAGGTAGAACTGTGAAGATTTCTATCTATGACATTGTTGTTGGAGATGTCGTACCTCTTAGAATAGGTGATCAGGTAGGTGCATACATACATTGTCAAGAAATTTCATTATCGTAGCTTAGAATTCGTAATATTGGTCTTAACACATTTAATCTCATCTCAGGTCCCTGCTGATGGAGTGCTTATTAGTGGTCATTCTCTTGCTATTGACGAGTCTAGCATGACCGGTGAAAGCAAGATTGTGGGTTCACTATGGTTATCCTTGTGCAGTTTTATGGTTCTCCGCTTCTCTGTATTTGCTAAGAGTAACCCCTTGTTACAGGTGCATAAGGATCAAAAGGCACCCTTTCTAATGTCGGGTTGCAAAGTGGCTGACGGAGTTGGTTCTATGCTGGTAAATGTTGAAGCATCTGTCTTTTTCCTCGAAGCTATTCTCCTAGTTTCACTTTTATTTTTCCCTGATGATTACTTTCTCTCAATTATAGGTTACAGGTGTTGGTATCAATACGGAATGGGGATTGTTGATGGCAAGTATCTCTGAGGATACCGGTGAAGAAACACCATTGCAGGTGTGTTCCTGATCATTTTAGTTTTCATAGTATATTGTGTTATAGGCTTGATGATGTCTTGATGAAACTTGATCATCTGTTTGATAACTTTTCATAGGTTCGGTTAAATGGTCTTGCAACTTTCGTCGGTATAGTGGGGCTCTCTGTGGCTCTCTGTGTTCTGGTTGCTCTTCTTGTCAGGTACTTCACTACACCCGGGTTACTAAATCATTTGCTTACAACTTGATGCCAAATTGTCTCTTTTTTAATTTTTTTCGGTTTACAGATATTTTACCGGAAATACACATGACCCCGATGGAACAACACAGTTTATCAGAGGGAATACCAGTGCCGGTGACATAATAGACGATTGTGTAAAGATATTTACAATTGCTGTAAGTGTAATCCACCATTGTTGATCATCCTATTCAATAGACATATATATCAGCTAATTCTGGCACTATTCAGGTTACTATTGTGGTTGTGGCAGTGCCTGAAGGACTTCCGCTAGCTGTTACCCTAACGTAAGTTGTAGTGTCACTTGTATTTCACATGGAAATAAAGATATCTTATGTACTGATTTTCATTTCTTGTCAAATATGCTACTATGGCAGTTTGGCTTACTCAATGAGAAAGATGATGGCTGACAAAGCTTTGGTGAGAATCACATTGGATCTGTTTAATTTAACTTTCCTTTTTTTTTTTCCTTTTTAATTGTTTGTCATTTTTTTTTGTTTCCCGGGGTTTTGTCTGATAACACAAAATGCAGGTTAGGAGGCTTTCAGCTTGTGAAACTATGGGCTCTGCAACAACAATCTGCAGTGATAAAACTGGAACTCTGACCTTGAATCAGGTCAGTCTCCCTTATAAATCAGCATATTTCAGATGATCAGAAAGAACCAGAGCTAATTATGTACCCTTTCATATTTCAGATGACAGTGGTTGAGGCTTATGCCGGTGGAAAAAGGATGGAATTACCAGACAACTCCTCGGGGATGCCCTCAGAACTTCTTTCATTGATATGTGAAGGTGTCGCACAGAACACAACGGGAAATGTTTTTGTCCCTAAGGTTGTTTCTACGTTTTTAGCTCCTATGCTTGGAAACAAAACCGATAAATTTCTATTTGAGTCCCAGTTATGAGTTTAGGTAACTCGAAAGTGATTGAAGCTTTTGGCTCCAATCCACAAAACAAATCTCATTACGGTTTAAATAAGGGTATAAAGTTTCTTAGGATGACAATTTTCACCGAGGTGAAAGTTTTGGACAAATAAAGTGAACATAATCTCTTCAAAGATGTTAAGATTCTCATGAGTGGTTTTATCTTCTGTCATTACTTTGAGTTGTCATCGCAAGATTGCTTGGTAACCACGTTATTCTATTGTAGGATGGTGGAGATGTAGAAATTTCAGGATCCCCCACAGAAAAGGCTATTCTATCGTGGGCATATCAGGTATTACTGGTGATGGATTATTGTTACCAATCTTAGACATATTTTCCCCTTCGGATTGGTGATATATATAAAGAAACAATTTTGCAGTTAGGGATGAAGTTCGATACCATCAGGTCAGAGTCTGCTATAATTCACGCTTTCCCTTTCAACTCGGAGAAAAAGCGTGGAGGTGTTGCAGTACTTCGGGTAATTTCCTGATTCTTTCTCCGGTTTGAAATATCGACACATCATTTTGTTAGCCTGTTACCATTAGCTTCTGCTTTTACAGTCACTCCTATATGTTGATGAACTTACAATATCTCAACAGAAGAACATCTTTTTGTCCCACTTCTCTTATGCATGATTCTATAAGCCCATGAACAATCCATATTGACTTTCTGCAGGGTGATTCTGAAGTTGTGATTCACTGGAAGGGAGCAGCTGAGATAGTTCTGGCCTGTTGTACAAAGTACATGGACTCAAATGGTACCTTGCAGCCTATCGATGGACAAGAGGTGGGTTTGAGTGAAATTATGGGAGAAATATACAACAATCTTTCTATGGTCTTTTGCATTAGAGAATAGATTAGGAGAATAGAAATGTCATTTTTGAAGGAATGCCCAAATGGGTTCATTAAATTGTGCCCATATAGTTCTTTTGGTGTATGTGCCACATTTTCTGGGTCACGGTACAAGACAGAGAAAGTACTGTCGAACCTTGAAACTCAGTAACCGGAAGCAGTTGGTATGGTTTGCTTTGCTTTCTATTTTATCAGGGAGTGAGATAATTGGATCAAATTCTTTGCCTGAAGTATCAAGAACAATGCTAAATTTCTCTCGTGTAAAAGGGAATGCCTTCTTATCCATGTACTAAACAGGTCTACAATCTTTTTATTCAGGAATTTTTCAAGGTTGCAATTGACAGCATGGCTGCAAATAGCTTGCGATGTGTAGCTATTGCGTGCAGAAAATACGAACTTAACAAAGTTCCCAAAGATCAAGAGGATTTGGACAGATGGGTTTTGCCGGAAGATGAGTTGGTTTTGTTAGGTATTGTCGGTATAAAGGTAAGGCTCCTGAAAATCTTCCACCACCTCTAGATTGAGTTCATGATATCCCTCCATTGCATCGGAATACTATCATCAGCCTTTTCTTCCTAAGCTATCTTATTTTCCTTTGTTTTCTAAATTCCTTTTTTCGGTGTATATTCATTCATCACCTTATGCAGGACCCTTGTCGGCCCGGCGTCAAAGATGCAGTGAAAATCTGCACTGATGCTGGTGTCAAGGTAAGCTCCAGGCCTCACTACAATATTATCTTAATACGATTAAGATATCTACTTCTACAACATTCTGAATACGATGCATGATCACCATTCTTTTTTCTACGATATTTTCTCTCAAACCGTATATATATTGTATTTGTTAATGTCAAGGTACGAATGGTGACCGGAGACAATATTCAAACGGCAAAAGCTATAGCTTTGGAGTGCGGCATACTTACTTCGGATGCAGAAGCTACTGAACCTACCATTATTGAAGGAAAGGTGTTCCGTGAACTATCGGAGAAAGAGAGAGAAGTAGTAGCCAAGAAAATAACGGTAGGATTTCGATAACGTTTTAGCACTAGCTGTTGTTTCATCTAAACCTTTCATCATACCCGAAACTAAAATGTTAAACACGTACTGAGATGACAAAGTCAGTTCACTAGAAACATCTTTTACACATATGATTACGATATATATACTTCTACAACATTCTGAAAATGTTATAGCTGGCATGTTTTAGCGAACTTTTATCAACAAATAAGGAATACCTGAGCGATTTTAGTGGGATATGTGTTTAAAACCATACAGATTAGGTATCACCATTGTTGTTCCCAGGTATAATCTTCAATGATTTAACATATGAGTGATATGCAGGTGATGGGAAGGTCATCTCCTAACGACAAGCTTTTACTTGTTCAAGCATTACGGAAAAATGGTGATGTTGTTGCCGTGACTGGTGATGGTACCAATGATGCTCCTGCACTTCATGAGGTTTGTAAGATCGTCCTCTATTCTTTCAATTACAACTTATGATTCGTTTTCGGATCCAAATTTACTAACTGTTTCGTAATCTAGGCGGATATCGGTCTCTCTATGGGTATATCGGGAACTGAAGTTGCGAAAGAGAGTTCAGACATCATCATCTTGGACGATAATTTTGCTTCAGTTGTAAAGGTTAGTTACCGCAAGATATTTGTTCATACCTCTTAAGAGCTTTTTTGTCCTTTTTTTCTTGTTTTTTCCCCATCACATATCTCTCTTTGCTCGTTACAGGTTGTTCGTTGGGGTCGGTCCGTGTATGCCAACATCCAGAAATTCATACAGTTCCAGCTCACTGTAAATGTCGCTGCTCTTGTAATCAATGTTGTTGCAGCAATGTCATCTGGTGATGTTCCTCTAAAAGCAGTTCAGGTTAATATACTTATCCTCATTCTTCCGTATAGAATTTTAACCTGTGAAACCTCGACACCCGAGTATAAAACGAAGTACAAATTGAGAATAAGCATATAATAATTTAGTTAATGAAGTGATCTTCAGAGATTTATTATGGTGGGAATTCATTTTTTTGCAGTCATAACTCGAGTATGTGATTACATGTTCCTTAATGCAGCTTTTATGGGTAAACCTTATTATGGACACCCTTGGAGCTCTTGCTCTTGCTACAGAGCCACCAACAGATCATCTTATGCACAGGACTCCAGTTGGAAGGAGGTAGAACACTGTTTATTTTCTCCAAAATGATTCCATTATCATCATCTCGATGAATTCCGATACTTCCGTGAATTCGTGGTATGATCTGTAACAATTTTGTAGTAATTTTATCATTTCTGGATCTGCAGGGAACCTCTTATAACCAACATCATGTGGAGGAACTTGCTCGTGCAGGTATTAGGCTCAGAAAAAACAAAACGAATTCACTTTTGCTACGTACTTTGTATCGATCTTTCGTTTCTCTGATATACGTAAAATTCTTGAAATGTTGCAGGCATCATATCAAGTGCTTGTTCTTCTAGTTCTTAACTTTGCAGGCTTCAGCATTCTTGGATTAACCCATGATAACCATGCACATGCTGTGGAAGTGAAGAACACCATGATATTCAATGCCTTTGTCATGTGTCAAGTAAGCGTCTCTCCTGTTTCATGTTAGTAGTCACGCCTTTTAGACGATATGATCTCTGTGTTCATCGTCTCTCGGAAATTACAGATATTCAACGAGTTCAACGCGAGAAAACCCGACGAGATGAATGTTTTCCGAGGAGTAACTAAGAACTTCCTCTTCATGGGGATCGTCGGGATAACTTTCATACTTCAGGTCCCAAAACCGATAACCATCTCTTCTCTGTTCTTGTTTTGATAAGTTAGATGTAGAAGATAAGCACTAATATGCTTCTTTACCGCTGCTGCAGATAATCATCGTTACTTTCCTCGGGAAATTCGCCTCGACGGTGAGGCTAGGCTGGGATCTATGGCTTGCGTCTATCGCCATCGGGTTTGTCAGGTCAGTTGCAGTTTCTTTCTTCTACTAAACCTGCAGTTTCAAAAAAAAAAAACAATAACGTTCGTTTCATCGAATGAATTGATGAACGATTAATTTCTGCAGCTGGCCACTCGCGATGCTCGGAAAACTGATACCGGTGCCCAAGACACCGATGAGCGTTTACTTCAAGAAACCGTTGCGTAAATACAAAGCTTCAAGAAATGGATAAAGATAGTAGATATCTTCCCATTCTGCAACATCAGGAACTCTATACACTTTGAGGAAATTGCTTCCAAGAACATCTTATTCTGACAAAAACGCAGAAAAAAAAAGAGATAGAAAAAGAAAAAGACAGATCAACCTTATGACAAAGCCCTTAATCTCTAACCTCAGACTGCAAAAAAACTACAAGTCCTTTTACCATATAAAGATTACTTTTCCTATGTAAACTGTATCAAAGTCTTTTGTACCTTTCCATTGTTTTATTTCTTTTTCGGGGTGGCGTTTTGTATGATGATGAGACAGAAACTGTAAAAAATTCGATTATGGGATTGAGGTATACCGGTGGGATTTTCGGCTGGTTTTCTCTGGTTTGAACAGAGGGTTTAGTCTGTACATTTTGAGGATCTGTTTGTTCTTCCTTGGTGTTCAGACGCAAATAAACTTTCCTATAGATGCATACTATCTTCTCCTTTTAGCCTCTCTTGAGTTCAATCTTTGCCACTTCAAGTCGCACGATCGGAAAATAGGGAGGGTTGGGTCGGGTACCAAACCCCCGGGGTCCCACAGGTATCTGTCCCGTAGAACCCGAGAGGCATGGGTCCGACCTCCGAAAGCCGAATCTTGGAAGTTGGGTGTTTCATCAAGAAAAATGTATAACCTTGGACTCTGATTCTGCAAACATCTGAAGTACTTATACTTTGAATGTTTCACTTAGATGAGTGAAAAACCAGAACACCCTTTTCATCAAAACATGAACTTGCAAATCATTTGAAACATGTATGTACACATTGTAATGACGGACTTTGAATCTAAAGATGAGTAGCAATGGAAGTTCATTGGTTCCGACCTTGTCGGAGATTAGTTAGATCGAAAACTCGAATACCCTTTTCATCAAAAATTGAACTTTTCAAACATCTGAAAGTATTTATAATCCAACAAATCTCAATCTGTAACCTCAAACAGTTCTTTCTTTCCTACACCAAAGACGAGATTAATCACCCGCCTTAAAATGAACTTAATATCGACATAAACTTAATATCGGTGATTAACAGTTCTCCAAGATCTCACTCACAGAAATGCAGCAGAGAAGATCAGATTGGGCAGAAGCATGAATAAGCCAAGTGATTCTTCTTCGAGATGTAAGGAGAGACGAAATCTGTGGCAAGGGCCGACGTGCCAGTGATCTCGGCTGGAACGAGGACTTGAGGCTTCCCTAAAGCTATTCTTTTTCCGACAGTGTTGGCGTAAAACAGACCCGATATTGCCGGAACAAATACATCACTCCTCGAGCTTATGTAGAAGTCGATAACCTTTTCGTACTCGGAATCCTTTGATTCCAAGTACTTTGATTTCTTATCAGCCGGCATTATCGTTTCCTGCCCATTTTTTGTGAATAGATCAAGACCGAGAAACATTGCAGTTTCCTTCAAGATCTAAATATAAAAGACGGGAATTAACTCACCTTTGTATATGTTTTCGGGAATATATCCTTGAGAATGTTGAGGCTGCTGTCCCATCTAGGCTGCGTAAGATAGATAGTAGTATCGGTGTTGAAACCAACCTTTCTCAAGAATAGAGCGATCTCTTGTGCATCATAACAGGATTTGGAGCCTGCAACCGCGGTTTCATGGCAGTTTTTCTTTTCGAGAATGTCAACCCTCAGGTCTATGGCTATGAACCGGCCACCCGATTTCCGGCTCAGTGTTTTCAGCCTCTCGACCATGGAATCAACCACTTTGTTCATCTCGGGTTGCAACTCCAACGAGCCAAACATTGCCAGACATGCAACGGGATCGGTCTCACCGTCTTGTGAGGATTTTCTCATGTTCACGGATGGGAAGTAGGTTGCAACTCTTATGTTTCCCTTTGACTTGAAGACGGGTATGATATTTTCCTTGATATAATCTTCGGATACCCGGGCAGGGACCTTCACGATGGCCATATTCCTGAGAGATATTTCTTCGGGCAATTGTTTTACAACCTTGACAACGCCTTCTAGGTTTCTAATGAACTTGTCAGCATTGTATATATCTTCGAAGTTCCTAGTAAAAAATGCAGTGAATCACTTAGAAATCTCCCGAGAAATTTGGAAAAGCGAAAGGATGTAATGACATAAAACCCGAACCTTTCATCCCCAGGCTTTCTTCCTCTTATGTCCGGAAGCACAAGAGTGGCTCCAAGACGATTTGCCACCCTTACAGCATCAGTAATCTGAACAAGACAACACAATAAGCCACATGAACAATAGAGGAAAGAGAACAAAATAAGTTTGAAAATTGGGCAAGATGATCGACATCAAAGATTGGAATTTAGCAGTGCAATTCTTCATGCACAGCCCTTTTATACAAGTTCAATCTTTACAAGACACCAACATAAGAAAGTACCAAACTTTCAGATTATTAGAAAGGGTATATACCTGAGAGACATGATATTCAGGACCATTTGTCAGCGAAAAAGTAACATATCCTTTCGACGATGCTGCTTCATCTGTAACATTGTTTCCAGAATGAATAACAGAAACGTTTTAAGTGAAACAAAGAACGGAATCAGATAAGACAGTAACATGAACAACTCAGTCTCAGGGAGAAAGCACACAAGTGGGCAGAATCATACCAGACATGGATGCTTCCCAACAAGGCTTAAGTTCATTATTGATGTCCTCCATCCAAGGCCCGTTGCTTCCCCCAACAGACCGCACTAGACCTTCTTGCACTGCAACTTTGGATCCCTCGAACTCGATATCGTGTCCTTCTCCAGGGAATTTCTCCTGAAAATTACAAAATTTGCAGTACAATAAGAACCCATCAGTCGCTGATCTATGTCAATGTCACCATGCGAGGTTTTTCTTCTCCTTCTATCTAAGAAAAGGGGAAATTTTGGATTGCCCACTTCCATTTCAGACCGAACAAGCTGACTTCTAACACTCACTCTTGATCTGAGGAACCATTGGTCCAAGATAGGTTTTTGATTGTCAAAAAAATTCACATTTCAACAGAAAAAGACAAGCCAATCGTACAAATTGAATAAAGTTCAGGACTTTGAGGCTACTGTGAACCAGATCTGCTTCTCGGACATCAAAGAAAGAATCATGAATAAGAAAACAAGTGGTAGAACCAAAGAATGGTGAAGAAAATCGAACAGAGCCCATGAATTAACTCAGCGTCAAACAATAACAAAACCCATTTTTTTTCAACCAGAAAGAGCAGAAATATTTCAAACAAAGGAAAAGACGAAGACGAAGGAGAAGACAAAGACATGTCGGTGTCACCTGAGACGGATCGAAGTAATCTCTGTGAATCATCTGTCCGAGCATCACAAACATGGTGATCGTAAGAATTCCAGCAACCACTTGTCTCAAATCCACACCCATTTTCACTCTTCTTCTTCCTCGCCTCTCTCTCTCTCTCCACAGAAGAAGAAGTGGGTTTTGGAGATTTTTTACTGAAACGGAGGATTCTGAAGTGATTATATATTAAATTTTGTGGGTTTTTTTTTGTTTTTGTAAATTGCAGTGAAAGAGAGAGAAGGAAAGCCCAACAAACAGGGGGCGAGGTTTTTGTGGGGCAGACAGAGACAAGCTAGCTTTCCATTCTGAGACCGCTCTGGTTTTTTTTTTTTTTTTTTTTTTTTTTTTCAAA